GGCCGGCCCGCGGGCCGCGTTTCAGGATAAACAGCTTATCCTGAAACGCACAAGCTGCCCCAAACGGACCCTAAGATGAGTAGGGTACTCTAATTCGGACTTGCGCGAAGCGCTTAATAGATGTGTCGATGAAAGAAGTATAGCTTTTCCGCACTATAGAGGTATCAATCGAACTTGACCTTGGTCAATCGAGACACCTAAGAATGATTAGTCAAAACAAAGTGCACCAATCATAAAGTGTTTGGCCCGAGGGCCATACCCAAACAAATCCCTTAAAAGGGAACACACTGAGCATATTCATAAGCTATGCTCAATTTGGACCCTATACGAGGCGGGTAACCGAAAAGCATGCTAGGAAGTGCATGGCTTTCTCGCACATGAAAAGGTATCGATTGAGCTTGACCTCAGTCAATTAAGATACCAAACCAGGCTGGCCATAACAAAATGCCCCAATCACAGGGTGTTTAGGCCTAAAGCAAAAACCAAAACATATCCCATTGAAGGGAATGTACCACACTTATCTAAGATTAGTAAGATACACAAAATCCAGATCCACAAACAGTGGGCAATCGAACAAAGTGCTAGGAAAAGTGTGTAACTTTCCTGCATAAGGGAGGTATCAACCAAACATGACCTCAATCAATCGAGATACCATAACAGGTTGGTCAAAATAGAGTGCGCCAACCAAAAGATATCTGGACTTAAGGCCAAACCCAAACATACCCCATAAAAGGGAATATTCCGCACTCATACAAAATGAGTGGGGAGAGTACATCCATAAAATGTGCTCAATTCGGACCATATATGAAATAAGTAACCGAACAAAATGCTAGGAATAACGCGTGACTTTCTCGCATTTGAGAGGTATCCATCGAATTTGATATTGTCAATCGAGATACCTAAGGATGGTTGGTCAGGACAAAGTGCACCAACTGTAAGGAGTTTGATCCTTAGGCCAAAGTCAGCATATCTCTCAAAAAGTTAATCAACCAAAATTATCTAAGATGAGTGGGATGAGCATATCAATCATCTTCATTTATAATAAATGAGATATGCTCGCATTTGGATCTGCCGGAAGCGTGCAACCGAATAAAATGCATGGGAGAGTACACAACTTTCCTGCAAATGCAAGGTATCGATCCAACTTGACTTTCAGTAATTTGAGATACTGCGAATGTTAGCTAAGCAAGATGCGCTAAACATAAAATGCTTAGCCTTAAGGCTAAGCTCCAATCCCTTAAAAAAGGGTATTTACCACACTCATTTAGGATGGGCGGGACAAGCATATCCATCACATTTATTTATGATGAGTAAGATAAGCTAATTTGGATCCACTCGAAGCGTGTAACTGAAAAGTCATGATAGGAGAGGTATGATGGCCTCTCTCATACTGATTATTGGCCACCCGTAAGACTTACACCTTGCTATTATGGCAATCCAACTATCAATTTAAGATATACACATGGCTTCTCTTACACACGACAAGTATCAATCGTTTTTGACTTTGGTCAATCGAGATACTGGGAATGTTAGGTAGGCAAGATGCGCTAACCAAGAAATGCCTGACCATAAAGCTAAGCTCGAGTCCCTCAAAAGAGGTATCTTCCACACTTATTTAAGATGAGTGAGATAAACGTATCTACCACACTCATTTATGATGGGTGAGACGCTCATTCGAACTTGTTCGAAGTGTGGAACCAAAGAGAAAAGATAAGAGAAGTACACGGCTTCTCTTACACTGATTACTGATTGCATCAGGTGTAGGCCACCATAGGACTTTCATCTTGCCTGTATGACAATTCAACAATTAGTTTTAAGAGATGCACAAGACTTCTCTTATATGCAAAT